ATTAGTTATAGCTTATAATATGACACGTGCTACGTATATTGATATTGTTTTGTCTTCCTTTTTAGGTTCGTGTATCCGGGGACATTAAGGTGTCCTCGGCAAGATGCTTGCCTGCGAAGAGCGACCGAAAATTTAACCAATTTGTAGTATACTTTTAACCGACTCTAAGAGAGGAAGAGGAGTTTCTCAATTCGGCTGCATTTTTTTAATTCAAACGTCATTTATTTATGCGATTTTTAAAAATCTATGTTATATAACATTTTTTCAAATGAAGTATTTGTGTATTGATATCAATACCGATATCGACTTAAATTTCACTTTGTCATAATTTACTGTTTCTTAGATGGAAATTAGATCATTTTTATATATTTCGTGAAAAGTAATAAAATAAAAGTTTTGCATGCCTATCAACGCTGCAATGTTTAGCGCATGCATGTAAACAATCGCATCACGTATGCGGCGCGATACGTGGTTGATTCAACGAATAAGCATCGCGAGCTTATTAGCAACTCATATGTAAATATATAGTGTTTGACCGAAACTACATTTTACCACCGAAACCGAAACCAAATTGTAGTTTCTCTTCAACTATCAGGCAAAGCTATTGATATTTCTTTATTTCGAATGTATAGTACGTATAATATGTACACTAGCTGGCACGCGCAATTTCGCATCACACTTACTCAACATTTATTACTATATTTCTACCAATTTATCTTTAAATTATAGCCTATGTGTTATTCTGATGTATAAACTATATTACTATAAAGTTTTCTTAAAATCAGTTCAGTAGTTTTTTTGCATGAAAGAGTTACAAACATCCATCCATACTCACAAACTTTAAGTTTATAATCTAGACACGCGGTAGCGTGTCAAGCCGAGTTTCAAGTAACTGACGAGCAGCACCGTGTGTATATTTACACGAACCATTTGGAGCCACTTTTGACCCCCTCATAACTCAAAAACTCTTTCACATAAACCTATCAAATTTGGTTCATATATTGAGACTTGCGAGATAAATATGTGTTCCAAATTTCATAAACATATCTCAAACGGTTATTTAGATAACGACCAAATATCGTCATTTTTATCACTGATCAACTATAGATCAAAATTATAACCCACTTCCAGATAACCTAGGAAGTTCAAATTTGGCATGCAGATAGGTAATTAGGTGAATATAAAGGAAAAAATCTGAAACTGGTAAATTGTTATCATTTTATTATAATTTTTCACTTTAATTGATTCTATTTCAACTTATATCGGACGAATACTAAAATTCTATGAAAACGTCGATAGCCACCAATGAACATTGATCCCTGGCAAAAATAGCTCATCTTGTACTGGACGGAAAGTAATATTGTATGAAAACGTCGATAGCTACCAATTAACTTTGATCCATCACTGGCTACCAGAGATCATCTTGTACTGGACGGAAAGTAATATTGTATGAAAACGTCGATGTTTACCAATTTACGTTAACCCCTTCACATCAGTATCGATACCTAGCAAACTTCAAATATTGCTATGAGCGGTAAACACAAGTTGCTATAATTTAGATTCTGTCTAAAATATACTCGTACTTATAACTGAGAGTATAGTCGAATATCATACGAGTATACCCCGAAAACATACGAAAATACAGTAGTTTATCAAAAATAATTTGGTATTAATTTAGTTATAAATAAGTACCTCGTATAATTTATGTACAAAAAGTAATCTTAGGCTACAGTATATTATCCTAAGTTATAAGAAGAAATGATATTATATATTGTTATAAATACATTTCAGGACATACCATTGAACTTGGCACCCATTTAGATCTCACCTCTTTTGTCGTAGAAGTCAAGAATCAAGGCATATATCATAATATTAAACTCGGCTATCTTTTCACATTTATGTTCTTGATGGGATATTAATAACAGGAACTATTAGTTTTATTCAGCAAAATATTTTGTTACTAATATCTTATATCTTAAACAGTATAAGAAGTTAATAAGTTATTACAAACGTATGTATTCAGTTTCGGTTATAGTCAAATACCGATTATACCTGGACTCCGCGATACCAAATGGTATCGCGGAGTCCAGGCCATAAGCTCATACAGTAAGACACTACTAATATGTATGTGTCTGGCATAGTTAATAGCAAATGATTTTATACTGTATCATTTAATGGAATGTAATAAATTACTGGAGTTTATAATACTAGATTTATATTGGTATTTTTGTTTAAAAAGAAGCGATTGGAGTGACCGTACTTGCACATAGTCGACTTTGTTAGAACACGGTTTACAATCGGTGATGAGACTAGCTGGTATGGCAGACGAAGTATTTTTGCATATTCGAAAAGAGTATTGTCATTTTGTCTGCTTTCATGTAAAATATTCTATATTGTAAATGTATGAAATTGGATGAAAAATAAAAATTATTATTATTATGTGTAGGTACTATCTATATTGTAATATACTTGTTTTTATGTAATTTTATTTTGTGCAGCAATATATTTTTGTTTATCTGTTATTCTAATTTATTTACTTGTATAACACTAGTTACTCTGTTAGGGTGAGAAGTTCGGAGGTAACTTCCCTCACAGACTTACATGTATATATTTTTAATTAATGATGAAATATCAATTTTACTATGAACTATGAAAGGATGAGGATGTATGTAAGGATTATGAATTATACAGTAAAACATGTGTTATAAATGACTAGACCTCAGAATTAAACAACTATAAATTGGTGTTTGATTAAAACACGTGAATTCAATGACAATTTATTGCAATGACTGTGTACATAATTTGTATCTCTAATTCAATTGTAGTAAACAGTAGTATAAAATAATTATTAAAGAGTGTTTAAAACTACAAATTACACTATAATACTTATATAAGACTAGACTAGTTACCAAATAATTACGTTCGAAGAGAGAATTGATGAGCTATTTTTTGTAAGCGAAGGCTTACGTCCCATTCATGTTTGGCATGGCAATCTGTCACATTCTTTATTTGTGATCTTTAATTTGGGTAAATTCTGGAAAAATTTTGTCATTCTAAGAATGATTATCGAAAATCGTAACTTCATTAGCAACAACTTCTTCAATTATAACAACTTACACAAACAACTTCCAACAATTGCTCTGATATCTAATAATCTAATGATCCAATATGGCTATACCAAATTAAGTAGAGGTAAGACGATAGATACAATAATATAATTGTAAGTACATATTCGTTGACATTACTTGTTTAAATACAATGAAGTTCTTTGTAATGATTAATGTTTGATTTGAAAATTAATATGTAACACAATAGACGTGTACTCCCTTAAATGAAAATTCTATACCTGCACCTATTTACTGATATACAATGGAAATCTGCATTAATAAGTATACAATTTTATTACGTTTAAAAGCATTTTGCATATTCTTATACAATACTCAAGTATACGAGAAAATAATTCGAAATAATAATATATAGAACTATGAGGATATAAAGATAGAGTTGTATCATCCTATTATAAAAGATGTGCATTGCATACGGTATGGTATTTGTAAACACTTTACGATCAACTGTACAGCTTGATCTTATAATACATCGTCTTTGGCCTGCATTTGTGTAAAGATTTATTTGTGCATCTGCGTGTTGTATTATAATAAGTATATGAAATTGACAAGTATACATACGTGTATGGGTAAGTACGACGTAATGCATGAATATATGTAATAATAATAATAACAATAAAATCTTTGAGAATAGGGAGAACTTTCCGTTAATTATCTGAACCAAAAGCATTTGTATAAGGACTGTTTTGTTATAATTGGAATGTCGAGTCTGAAAGGAATCAACAGACTTAATTATATAGCCTATCAGAGTCAACATGTATAAAATTACTTTAGATTGGCGCTACAGAAAGCTTTAAATATGTAAAATACCTATATGTGATGGGTGGCCATTTTCGACTTGAGCATTGTCTAAGTTTGTATAATATTAGCACTTTGCTGTTTAATCGTGCATAAAAGAATTCACGCTTATCATATATGAATTTATCATATTCGGACGTCCAAGTCCAATACCTATTGTGACGTAGATGTTTGCAAATTTTGTCTAGTAGGTACACCTTTATTTGCGCCAACATATATTCAACTGTTTGTTGAAAGTATTTCAAATACGTGTTCAAATCTTTAGTCTGGTGATAGGGTTATATTAATGCAATATTTACCTACTTATATGCGATGAGCGTCAATGGCCTTATATGCAGATAGCTTTAGAGTTATATCTGGATATTTATATCAGCTATCGGTATGAATAATGAATATCGGATGAATAATGCAATACCATGTTTATAAGAGAATTAATTTTAATAATTAAATATATTTGCAACACATGATTGATAAATGACTGACCAATGCTTTGTTTACATAGAAGTAACAACTCACCTCGTATTCGTACGGGGGTGTAAGTGCAAATCAGACATACGAATACATCGATTTTGCTTCATATTATTAAATTTATACAAATTCCTTCCATTACGTAATTGTGAATAATTTATTTTTAAAAATGTGTTTGAACCAAAATTTTAGGGCTATTTTGTTCTATGATTAGTTTCGATAAAAGAGTACTTTTTAACTAGTTATAGAAATAAAAAAAATAGATTTATTTAGAATGCTATGTGATATATATACTGATAACGTATGTATACTGTGAATTAATATCTTGTTTTAACAGGGATCAGGAACGTACGAGAAAATTCTGTAATATTGGAGACATTCAAGAGTACAATGACCGTTAAGTGGAACCGACACTTATTATCAGGTGACCATATCCATATGAAAAATTTAGAACAAGTTACAATGGAATTAAACATTTCTAATCATTGGTCTATGAGCTGAGATTAGATTCCTCTTAAAATGTATACCACCAGACAATAATAACAGTGTTAGTATGTATAAGTATTTGAAACTTTATGTGTTGTGAATCACAATGTAGGTACGTAAATATATATAAAATATGTAACATGTAAATATCTATTTCATTTGATTGATAACTAAAGATAAGCGGCAAATACGTTTATATTTAAGTGAAATGTATTGTTTCTTTGCAACGAAATAATGATTTTTCAAAAATAACGTGGTGTAATTGCATGGTAGATGTAGAGTTTTAAAACTACAATAAACTTAGCTTACTAAATTTAAGGAAATTTAAGTCGCGCTCTTTCAAATGTATCCCTAACTTATAACGATTTTCATTATAAATTATACCTAGTTATCTACTAATAGATATTGTACAACAATTCTTAAACATATTAAATGCATTATATATTAATTACTTAATAAATAAAATTAAATCCTAATAATACAATTGTAATACATGTCCAATTTTATAAACATTTCAACTTGTCGTGATAACTTTGTGAACTTAAGATTTTAATGCGGACGTATTATGTAGTATTTGTTTGGCAAGATAACGCACTCTCAAAGTACAACATATAAGTACATACATCTGTGCAAATTATATATAATCTGGGAAATATTCCTCAGTTATAATATTTATGATTTTTGCGTGTCATTCTGTGTAGTGGGTAAGTCGATGTAGTCGATAACTTCCCAGTTGTGTTCAGATTCTTCAGGGATGTTAGGTGGGAAGGCGGAACGCACTAGGGGTACACCCTGCGCGTCCAGCGATAGGTAGGAACGTATTGCAGCCGCAACTTCATCGTCCTCGGGTGCAGTCCGCGCCCTCGCATTGAACGGTCCCCCGATGTCCTCGCTCGGCAATTCCCAAATGTGCCATTGCGTCGTCATTTTGAAGTTCTGTAGAATATAATCCCATATAATAAGCAGTGATGACTCAACGTTACCGACTTAAGTGGCTACTTTTCTTAATAATAGTATTTCTTTCACGATATTTGCATAAAAAAATCAATGCATATCGTTAATTTTGTAGTTTAAAATAGATCATGTTCTTTGTCTTTTAATGACTTGGACTTTGTATTATATCTCCACATTTTTAGCGGCAAATAGAATATAATTATTATAGCCGTAGGTATAGTTTAACGTATTGTATAATAATAGCAATAATAATATTTACCAGCAACAAATTATCTTATAACGTCTACACCTATGTAATTACGAGAGAAAGCACGCACACATCAACGTCCAGCCAAAACGACCTACGTACGTACTAACTACGTATTTTTATATCGTCATTTACTGAATTTTTGAAAACCTATGAAAAAATTATTCAACAGATTAAAAGCCGAAGAAGCTGCGAATAGAATTTTTGAACGTCGTTTGTCTAGGACAAGGCAACGGCTGTTTAAACAAAAAAATATGAACACTATGAAGAATACATACTTAAAAAACTTAAAAATTTTTAATATTTATTTTGATGTTACTCTCTAATAAGTTTATTGCTGATATTTTACAGAAGTCTAAATAGTATTAGGTCCTTCTGGTGCCTAAAATTTCTATCTACTTATGCTATACCAATTCCTCTACTATGATTGTCTTAAACTCAGAAATACTTTAACAGATTTATATATTGCATGAGACATGCCAAACTAAAACTAATGTTTTTAGGTTCTCTAATAAAATTAATACCACACCTATTCCCATCCTTGCTAATTATTTAATTAAGTGTTTATTGAATTAGGTAATCAGTAAAATTAGTCTCCGTAAGTACAGAGTCTATTACTTTATACGACAAACACTTTGTTAATTAACTTTGTTATATGCAAATGTCAATTTAGTGCTTTAACAGGTGGGTAGCAAATATTGAATGCTAGTTCTGAACTTTTATATGGCATTCTAAAATCTATATCTAATGTTAAATGCGTATAGACTGAGCAAGGGGGAGGGGGATTATTGGTAATGTGGACTGACCTTATTCCACGCGGTTCCCCATGGAGACCATCACGATAAATTACTGGTGAATTTGTCACGATAGGCTAACTGACCTGACCTCAAGTTCATCTTATCATCCTCCACTACGCCAGCGTAAACCGTTAGCGTAGGCGAGTGTACCATTTCATTATCATCCATTAAATATATATAAGTCTTCAGAACTGACTCTTTATGTTTGTCTGAACTGATGGTTTATTGTGGAATCAAAATTTATGGAAAATGAAGTAACTGTAGATACAAATATATTCGACATATCTACATTTTCTTAAACTAGTAGTTTTCAATCATAATATAAGTGTTTCCGGCAAAGAATGGAACGTCTGAAGGAAGTTAGCGAATTATTCTTTGTCTTTATGTCAAAATCTTCTTATTTAATTCATAGGTGTGCTACATGCTATCATTGGCTATTACAGCCAATTATTTTGACCTCAGAACACGAGTGTGTACGAGTATATGAATATTATATTGTAATAATAACGTGGTTATACATAACTTCCTGTATACTACATTATACTCGTAGCTCAGCTGTAAAGAGATTACAAGCGTGACTGAACACTGTATAAATAATTAAACATATTTCATTATATTGAAAAAACATATATATTTGACAAAGTTGCATCATGCATTAGTTTTGTTACTCCTGCATGCATTCCTTAAACGGTGCGTAATTAGAATACTTATAATATAGACACTGTATTATTTATTAATGTGGCTGTTACACTACCCTACTTTGTAAAATATTATTTTTGAGTTCCAATAAATAAATATTATTATTATTATATGCTAAGTACTATGCCATGTATCTAATTAAAATAATATATTTTCTATTAAATAAAATTTCTAAATATCTTTTGTATTATATCATTTATATCCCTAAATATATCAAATCGTGTGGCACTACGTCAGTTTGCATACATTTCTAGCATACTGCGAATAGAACTACAAATAGTCGTGAATTAATAATAAAAAATATATACATACGAAATATTGTCATATAGTCAAACTATAATTTTGCTATATCTACGTACCGTAGTTAGATCCATACAATGTTCAGCACTAGGCTTCATATTAACCACAATAAATTATCTATTTGCGACCTTGTCCACTTCCGCTATGCTTACATTACAACCTTAAGTTAAATATACCTCTGCATCACAATGCATCACACTGTCTTGTTTCTACTCATATTAGTATATACACCTAGAACAATGATGTGAAATATATACTTATCCAGCCTATAATCTGTCTTTTTTCATTTTTCAGTAATATCTCTGTAAATCCTTATACATTTTGAAAAATAAAAAACTATTTCAATTTCTCTCCGCAGTATTAAATTAGTAAAAGACTTAAACAGTACAAGAAAAATATTAAAAGATATAATTTAAAAACAATTTTTTCTTATTTTTATTTGTTTGTTCTTGTCAACAAATCTTTACTAATAGAAAGTGTATACATATACCTCCCTCTTCGTAATACAATTGTTAGGCAATAGTTGTGTATTGTCTGTTGTGGACCACGGCCTTCTAAATGAAGTGTGACAAAGTTTAGAAACGCACCTAATTTTTTATGTGACTTGACTCTACTGTTCTATATTCGAAATTATCTGTTAATTGGATATATCTATTAATTACTTACGAAACGAATAAGAAGATTAAACCTGAAATTAAAATGTAATGAATTTCTGTTTTTTAATTTTTTTACTGTTATTTTTACTCGTCCTTGAATAACTTTTCCCAATTTGACTATTGATCATGCCTCCCTGCGGAATCTGACCTTATTTGTTAGATACCTCTCACTATCGTAGATGCAAACATAACTTCAATAACGTCACATTTCGCTAAGAACAATTTATCATGTCCAATTTTAAACGTCTTGATAATATCATGACAAATTGGCGACTGATTTACGGCAAATTAGCAAATATAATCTAACCAAGTGTGACGCACGACCGCTACTTTTGTTGTTCCAGCCAAGACAGGTCTGCTAATTCCCCCGGCAGACGTTTTATGACGCTATTTTGATTGAATAAAGCACGTGACGGTGACGTAGTTATGTTGACATACAAAGGGATTAGACGGCTCGTCTTATACTTATTTAATTTTTCCGTATACCGCAAGGAATTATCAAAAACCTCCGCTAAGAGTAGCTATTACCACTATTACTAAGAAAACAACGCATTTATGGGTAGTCAGATGGTTTGTTTAATAAATACATTTATCATTGTTGTGTCGCTTTTATATTCTCATAGACAAATTCTACTCATAAATGTATTAGTGTGCTTAGTATGAAATTTCTGAAAAACTACGTCTGTATGTACCATAATGAAACTAGGTTTTAATCAGTCAGTCTCTCACATTCTATCAGTCGCATCACTGCGTGTCTGTGTATAACGTTAACCTGTGAATATTTTTGATGGGTTCTTGCTAACGTGTACCTATCGGTCGAGGTTGGATCTAAGTACCTATATATAATCCTGCTAAACCCGGAGTGTGGGACATTAAAATAAATACTGTTGAATGAGTAATTTTTTGGTTAACGGTGTAACTATTTAATTTAGCTAATAAACAATAGATGGATTTAAAAAATATATTCTCTTTCAATACGATGTTAAAAAGATCAAAATTTCTAAATAGGTATATTACATTATTAAACAAAATACAAAAAAGATATTTTTTTTATTTACCAAATACTTAAGCCTTTGTGTTATGTTAGTGAATTAGTGGAGAAAGACTGATTCTCCACTGACTTGTTTTTAAACAATTCTACATTATAATGTGGTTCGTGGTCATTAGAGAAATTCGTTTACAAATATGTATATACAATGTAGGATCATTAAACGTAACAAAAGAATCGATGAGAATTCTTACCTGTTTAATTGTCAACCATAATACACATTGATGTACCGAATGACATGAAAGGTTAATACATAACCTTTCAAAGTCGTATTTAGCTAAAACCTAAGTAAGATTACAATAATTACTCATATAAAATCTCTTTAAACCTAGATTACACAAGGGTAAATAATGTAATTTACTACTAGTATTCTATTATAATAAATTTGTGCTATGATTAGATACGCTCGAGCTCAGCATCTTAAAAATAATAAATGTTTAAAAGTTCAAAAATAATGAGAATTAGTTTATTTATTGTCATTATTTTTTAACTTTTAACCATTTTAAACAAATTCCATTTTAGATATTGGAAAATGCTGGGCAATTTCGTAGCATGTAAAATGGTAACATGTTACTTCATTTTGAATTTATTTACTATTCGTAAATTGTAGTAAAGATTATTTGTATTCTATTCAAACCTCTGGTAAACAATGATGCTGGAGACAGTAGTAGTCGTGGTTGCCGTCGTGGTGGCACCACGTTCCGTCCGGGAAGTATGGGTCAAGCCCAGCGTCGTTGAGCTCTACACGCGGCGCGTAAAACCCGCCGCCCATAGAACGGCGGCAAAAAACTGCGCACCCCATCCACATGCGAGCTGTACATTAATTAATTATCTATTAAAGTAATTTATAAATCAATACTAGCTGATCTCGAAAATGCTGTTTTGACATGTAAATTAAAATTGTCTATTAAAATATAGAGGTTAATGGTAGAAGGGTGAAAATTTGCAATTACACGTATTTTTTAAATTCAAATTATTAAAAAAAAATAACAAAAACTAAAAAAAAATCTTAGAGATGGACAACTCTTATCACAAAAATTACTGAACTGATTTTAATGAAACTTTACAGTAATATAGCTTATACATCAGAATAACACATAGGCTATAATTTAAAAAGATATGTGTTATGCAGACAAAGTTACTTTGTAAATTTATAGATCTGGAAGAACACATTTATGTTGTTTAAAAGATAATTATTACAAATCAGTACGGAATTAACAAACGTATGGCGAAACAATAAATTCAGTTGAATTCAGACCAGAACCAACTCTGTTTAAAGCTGCTACCAATTTCAAAAAGAGGTAGCGCTGGTAATGAGAGTAGTCTGTAGTAGAGAAGAATTGTATATTTTAATATATATTTATTTAAAAACAAATATATATTAATATTGTACCTGATTACTTACTCGGATCGTGTGGTGCTTGCAGACCACCGCCACGAGGATCAAGTTCCGGCAACTTCATAGCAAACTCGCTACATTTCCTGGACGCCAACTCATTCGCACTCACACGTGTCTTTTTTCCACAGACCTGTGAATGCATGTAAAAAATATATATAATATTCTTACTACATTAATAATTTATTTGTGCTAGAAGATAAAAACTACATCCTATGTTTCGAAATGACCACAAGTCAACCTTTGTCCATTAGTGTATTTGTCCGTGTTATCGCTATATTTTAGCGTACTTTCTACACACTTTACACTAGGCGTTGATGAGATTACAATTTCTTTGATTTAGGTCTGTATGAACTAAATCATGACATGTAATGATTATAAAATAAAACCCATATCTTTGTTGGTACAGAATTTTTAATAAAATCTAAAAACCGGGTGAGAATGTAATTATGATTTCTTAAAAATTCTTCTTAAAATATTAAAAAGACATGCTTTCGACTCTTGGTCCAGATGGGGTAAACGGAGACAATATTTACTGTTACGTTAATGTACGCATGTTACGTCGTAGTGAGCGTATCATTTGATATGCCCATATTTAAATCCAAAATAGCAAGAGGCGTGCCTTAGCCGTCAATGGAATTAATTTGTTTTGACATCGTTATTTCTCAGCTCCCAAGAATCCGAAATATTAATTGTGTATAACTTTTTAGACCAGTTTTGAACTCATGACCTTTGAGGTCTAAGTGGGGTAGAAAACCACTATAACACTCTCAAATGTCTTATGAAGTCTTATGCATTTATCAACTCCAAGCCTCTAAATAAAACCTTAAGTCAAATGTCTAGTTCAACGTTAATAAATATCGACTTATGGATGAAAACTTTTGACCAGCAGGATATCAATGGGTTTGTATAGTAAATTTTTAACTCGGTTCGTGAAACATTCGAAAGGTTGGTTTTTGATATGTTATTGACTAAATTTCTTGTGACTTTTCCTCGGCACTTGAATGGGCCACCCCATTCATTGTGTCAATGCGGTTACATAGTGTAATCATAAACTTTATTTAGACGACTCATAATGTGGTAATGTGTGTTGGGATTTTCCCGATTTTTCTTAAGATTGCTTTTCTACCTAACATACACGTAAGTCATCTATTTAATTTAAGTTTTAAAAGAAAACACGGGGTGGATCATATGATATATCATATAATATATAATCAGATAAACCTGCCTTTGAATCATCACACAACACGACGTCATATGCAGTACCATCGCAATCAATTTGTGAGGAGCACGAGCGGCGGCGTTCCCGGAACCCTCGAGAACGTGACGTACAGCCGGATCGACAAGCCGCTTCACGCCATTCGCTCCAACCCCCCGAGCCCGAGTTGTTCCCGACGTTCGCTGCACCGTCATTGGACGCAGGACCTGTACTCCCGTCAGATGTTGCAGGCAGCCCAGTGCTAGTCGTTACCGCGCTGCCTGGTACACACTCTCCGCCTTGACACCACTGGAAATTATATATATTATTTCAGATTATAAGTTAAAATAATAGGAATGGAAAACTGTTGCAGTAAGCGGTAAACGTCATTTCCATACATGAACACTATTGTAGACATAATAATCTCAGGATAATTAACACAGCGCCATCTAGTCCCAAGTTAAGCTAGCTAAAGCTTGTGTATTGTACTAGATAACTGTAGTTCAGTTTTTTCATAAGGTAAGGGTGTTTTCTATGTATAAATATGTATGTATACATATTTATACATAGAGAACACCCAGACTGATACAAATAATAACACTCTTGAATACACTTGTTTGTGCCGTGCGTAGAATCGCACCCGCAACCATCGGAAGCAAGACGGTGTGCTAACCCCGTAGACTACCGTGGCCGTCATCATGTACCGTGGCCGCCGGGGATACCACTATATCCATGCGGTCCAGATGAGAAATAAAGCACGCTTATTATCCTGTAATTTCACTGCCTAATACATCCTACAACCGAAACACAGCCTACAAAGCAAGCTGCTTGGCGGCAGAAATAAATGAGTCTGATGTAGGTGCCCAATCAGATGACTTTTTAGTCTAATAATATGCATTTTACTAGGAATACAATATGAGTTGTATATTATTATACCTTGATCTATTCATAAGTAACTATACCGGATTCTGCAAGTTTTAAGTTTAATCACATTACTCAATATAACTTTTGTCTATACGTTTTTTATGATATTTTTCGAATAATAAGTGTCCTGAAACATCATTTTTGCACCAAGGCTCAGAAGTATTACGCCATATATTTTCAATATAAGAATGATTTTCAAGCAAATCCGGGAAACGTAGAGGATTACAGAAATAAGATTTTTAGTACAGTATCAACCTTTTGACGGACAACAACTGTTATGTTACAATATACAATATGTTACAATCGATGAGGTTTTCTTCTGTGTTGGTTTCATACTTATATTATTACGACTGAAGTATTTTTTTTTATTTAAAACAAATGGAATGGATTTATTATTTATTTTTTGCAAGACACGATTGTCCCCACTTTTGTGAACTACGCTGCGTTTGATCAAAACTAACACTAACCATTCGAGGTCCACATGGAGTACCGGGTAACGCTGGTCCAGCATAGTAAAAACCGGCACGATGAGGCGAACGACACGCTAACTGCACGCAGTGTTCACTAGAGATGACCGATGGGGATGGTGCAGCGTCCACGTCTCGTAGAAACACCTAGTATTAGAAAGTAGTTGAATTGACTTGTAAATAATACTTTAAGTGTTTGGTAAATTAACGGCAATATTATAAAACTGGTTAGTATATCTTAGGTAATATATTATTATGACAACTTAGTTATACTTATAAGTATGTATATAAGTAGGCTTAGTTGAATAATTTTACAAATATAATAAAAACAAAATACAGGACAAGAGAACGTAAAGTAATTAATTACTTCTGCGTTCTTACTGTAGCGTGTGTATTATAAGCGTAAGCGTTTTTATTTTCCCTCGCAAACAAAAAGCGTAACAGACTATATTGAAATAAGCATAACAAGCTGCACGTCATACTATTCTGTTAAAAGTATATTAGTTATGAAAATATGTTAAGTGCTGGCGTATTTACTATGTACAATCAAATGTTGTCAATAAGGGATTCGTTCTCTGAAATAAACACTCTGTAATGTAGACATAACGATAAATAGCTGCCAACATTATATATTTGGATATTAAAAGTTTTTTTTAATATTTATAGTAGTATAGAGTACAGAGATCTGTTTATAGTGTGTTTAGTAATAGAACAGAAATAATGTTTATTTAAATTAATTTAATATAAGCACTTTAAATACTCTATTTTATTCTACCGTTCATTTGAAATACGAATACAGTCAAAAAGAATTAGCTGCCAACATTATATTATTGGACACTAAAAGTTTTTTTAATATTTATAGTAGTATAGACTACAGAGATCTGTTTATAGTGTGTTTAGTAATAGAATAGAAATAATGTTTATTTAAATTAATTTAATATAAGCACTTTAAATACTCTATTTTGTTCTACCGTTCATTTGAAATACGAATACAGTCAAAAAGGATGAGCTGCCAACATTATATTATTGGATACAAAAATATTTTTTTAATATTTATAGTAGTATAGAGTACAGAGATCTGTTTATGGTGTGTTTAGTAATAGAATAGAAATAATTTTTATTTACATTAATTTAATATAAACACATTAAATACTCTACTATTTTATTCTACCGTTCATTCGAAATACGAATACAGTCAAAAAGGATGAGCAAAAACATTATTTACAATTTTTTTTAATTTATTTATTTCGTTTCTGAATAAAATAATATTTATTTAGAAACGAAATAAATAAATTAAACCATTTATAACATACGGGTATTTAAGATACCAAATTTAGCCTTTGGTATCTTAAATACCCTGGGTAATTTTCTTCCATACCTTGAACCTTTTTGTACACATATTCATAAAATACTGTAGCATGATTTACTTACAGCACTCAAGTCAATATTACCTCGCATTGCTTCTTAGCACCCCATAAAGCACCAGGTGCTCCACCAAACCTCTCATGCTGCAGTTCAGTTGGAGTATCCAAATCATCACCCCCATCCAATAGACACGTGGCCCATCTAGAAATCAATAGTGATTTTTTGTCAGCCGATTGTTGTACCGACTGCTAGGATAGAATCACTTCATTGTCATTGACGATATAAGAGGGTTAGGTCAGTATATTGTGGAAAACGACCATGAATGACGTTCCCGTTGGTATCTGACTGAAAGGATATATCTAGCGGGGATATGCTGTTAGTCACAGCAACCAATGGGGGAGACGAAGTGATTTTAATTGATTAGGAATTCTCTGATCTCTTTAATATCGAATTATGTTTGTTATCATTCTTCGAATATTGTAAATGTATAATTACACCAATAATAAGGATAATTAATAATAATTTATTGAATGAATTATGACAAGTGAATGATCGATTGATGTATCTGCGTGTAATTACAGACGTTCTATGACTCTTTTTTGAGAAACCTGGAGTGAAGATTGGTAAAATAGTTTTATTTTAATTATCATTTAATTAGATTGTGGTATTAAATAATACTGATATGAAAACTTACTGTAAGTCTGCAGCAACACGGGCGCTGCAAGAAGACCAGGTGGCCTCCCCACTGGTGCCGCGTGACGGTGACATAATATACCCGTCACGGGCGCAAGTGTTGCCTGAACCGTCATGATGCATACCCAGACTAGAACAGAACATTCGCTGTTGTGTGATTGTGTTTCAATAACTTTCTTTTTCATACAATGTTAACACATTATACGAGAATGCCCAAGGAGGGTTGAAGTCAGTCAAGCGGCCGGTCAAATAAAAAAACTGAAGCTAAAACCACTCCCTCGTAATATGAATTTGAGTGAACGAATTGATGATCGGACTATTAAATACTTAATCAATACGAAAGAAAGAAATATATCAAATATATACACTTCTAATTATATAGCCTATTACTGAGTGTAGTCATTGAGATTATAATAAACTTATGTATTTATATCAGTTATGTTATATTATACTTAATGTGCTGACTATTTATTGTCGCCATTAATGTCGAATTTAATTTGCCAATAATATTTTTATTTACTAGAACTAAACTTCAGTACTTATATCTCACATATACATATAATTACTTACAATTATAATATATTAATTATAATTATAAACTATGCTCATATAATATAATATATGGTAGTATATAGAAAATATATACCAATTTATATACTAAACTATTTTATATTTTAATAAAATTTCCCATTTATTAGCAGCATTTTGTCTTTATGTTATATATACAGTTATGTCCTTTCAAAGTTTATATTTTATATTTACGGATTTAATTGATATTGTTTTAAACAAGAATATCGTTAAAGACAAATATCCTTCATTATGTTACTTAAATATACCAACTTGTGTCCAATCTCGTGGGCGAGGATGTAGACGGAAGTGAACCCAGCGGAAGGATAGGGCCGGCCGAGGACATCAGCTGCTCCGAATTCAGCCACCACACACGCGTGCGGTAGTAGGCACACGCCGCCCACCGGTGCCAAGCCCATTGTCACTCCGTTGCGACGACCGCCCTCGTCCGAGTAAAAGTCTAGCCTGTAATCATAGACGACATAATAAAAATACGTGAGATTGCTTTCTCTGTATAGTATAAATATGTATGTTTGTATTCATGAGGATGTCCCTTAGTATGTATTTATTGCTTGTTTTCCTATTTATTTATTAGTTACTCCTGCTTCGCACGGGTGTACTATATACCTATATGTATATAAATCTTCCTCTAGAATCACTCTATCTATTAAAAAATCCGTTGCATAGTTTTAAAGATTTAAGCATACATAGGGACAGACAGCGACAGCAACTTTATTGTATATACTATGTAATTATGAAATATTTATTTTCTTCATTATCTATTGTAGAATTCGTTATGTTTTTTTGCATTCCTATTAGTCCTAACATAACTTCTTACATTCAAACAAAAAGACTTAAACTTAAGTTTTAAACTACTTTAAGAAAATATCCCCATTTTATAGGGCATCTATATGTATATTATTAAGCATCCATTAGTTTCATCCACCTTTCCGAAAACATAAAGCAAATGTGCTAATTTACGTAATTGAGTTTCACATTCTTATTCTTCTCAACATAGAGCCAAACTAAAAGACTGTTAATTTAACTCTAACAAAATATCCGCCTTTTAGAGGACAGCTATATAAATATTACTAAGCATTAGTTTCATTCACCTTTCCAAAAACATAAAGCAAATGTGCTCATTTACGTAAATAAGCCTAAACGAGCTTCAGGAAAAACAAATATTTACAATATATGAACATAGGGCTTAGCTACGATTCTTTGCCATGAATTGTCGTGGAGTTTTTGTGTAGAGAACGGATGATTTTAGTATAATAAATTAGTCTAGTGTAGACCTATCGCATCGAACTGCTCTTCGCGGGACGAACCGCGCTGTGTACAAAGCACCCAAGATACGATGCTATTTTGTTCTATTCCTTGCACCTTTATGTTTTTACATTTTGAATAACAAATATAATAAATGTGAAAACTTACTTACCCGGATAATAATAAAGCCATATCCCAATGTTCGGGGTCATCATCGTCCTCGACATTCAATGATCGCTGATACGCACAGAACGAGTCAAGCAGACGTCCTCTCTCAGCATGCGCTGGCAACTCTGGTGGTTGACTACGCAGTAATGTCAACCTCACTAATGATAATTGGATGTGTGTACCAAGAGATGAGTGCTGATATAATGCTTGCACCTGTGAACAGATATGGGTTCGATGCGTCATGCGCGACTTGACGACCTGATGTGGTAGGTAAATATATGTATTTCATAATCATGTCCATCTATTACCTCGTATACTGTCGATAAAGTGAATAAAGTCTATCATTATCATGCTGGCTAGAAGGCTTCATTTGTTTTAATTTCGAGTTATCTAGATATTACATTAATATGTATTAGGTTGTCCTAATACATATACTTACACTCACACATGCACTTCTAAATCCTTACAGGTTAATATTCAAAGTCTTTGAAAGCAGTTTAACCCATTTGGTCGAATAATTGTTCTTCAAGTAAATTTATAGTACCATTTTTAAAGACAAATTATTTAACCACCTATGAATAAAATGAACAAACACTTAGCCTGTTTTATTTTGAAATAAATACACCAAATGTGTATATACTTACACCATTTATATATGCCAACAACATGTCACGTATATCAGCCTCATTGTAGTTCAGAAAGGGGTAAAATATTTTGTAGGCGGCTTCATCCAAGAACAGAGCTATTTCTATGGTGTAGCTGGCTGGGCCCGGTTTGACATGTGGCTGGAGGCGAGGGCGGCGCGGTCGGGGCCGCGGTCGCAGTGGGCGCGCATCGTCGAACGGTGCGGGCGGTGGTGGCGCCCGCCTTATCACGTGTGCCGTGCGGTCTCCGCCATTTTCCGCCCGACCCGTACTCCACGGCAATGGCCGTACTTCATATGTTGAATTGTCTACTACAATTAATCCATGCTGAAAAATTAACCATATGGATGGTGTAATGTTCTATTTTCAATTTAATCCTGAATATAATATTAGTTATTGTTAAAATTTGGGGTTTAGTACATGTTTACTAATAATATAGTTATCGGCTCTTAACAAATTTAATAATTTCATGGTATATAAAGTTATATATAAAATTGATCCAGTTTTGGTGGCTCTTATATTGGTCAAACAAAACATACAAAGAGTAATCAAAAAATCGACAACCTGTCTGCGATTCCTGAATGTGGAAATAAATCTGTATATACAATTGCATTCGTCGAAAGATGCTGATCGGCACTTTTTATTCACGAATGAAAAAAAGGTGTGATCAACAGAGAGAACAAACTCTATTCTGTTCGATAATGGAGGAGGAGAGATCCGTCTGCACTCGCCCCCTAACGTCCGGTGAAGCTGTAAAGGCCAGCTGCGGCCAACAGCATTAGAGTAGTCCGAAACAATAAAAAAAGCACTTTAAATAATGTAACTACCATTAATATAAATACTAACAAGAGTGTGATCCTTGCAGGCAGAAAACGCAGCAACCGCTCCAGGCCCGGAATGTAAGAAATGGCAGGTAGCATCGACTGTGGATAGTGGCTCTTCTTGTCCCTCGTCAGACCAAACGCGGAACTGTGGTGATACCAGCCGCCTGTTTGGCACCAGCTGAAGTTCAAAACTTCTGGAATATAATATATTTAACCTTTAAATAAGTGTAATAACGGCCTCGGGGATCCAGGGGTTTAGCACACCGCTTTACTTCAGCTTGTTCGATTTTCACACAACAAACATGGTATTTATGAATGTGATTGTTTGTGTTGGTCTGGGTGTTTTCTATGTACTTACGTATTCACAAAAAATATTTATGTATTTTTATCAGTAGTCTAGTACCCATTACACGAGCTTAGCTTAACTTGATACTTAATGGCCTTTGAAATGGCTGGGTGAATTTTCCAAGGATATGATTATTATAAATAATATTCAATTAAAAAATAGTTTTTATATTATTTACGAATATCTTCATGACATGCCTGTATACAAAAACATTTTAAATATATTGTGACAATATCAGGCCTCAATTTTATGGGACTAACTTTAATGGAATGAACACAAATGAATTACGTGGTAGTTAGTTATGCATAGAATACAGATCACATTAAAAACTGTTTATAAGTTTTGCGGTTATTTACTTTATCTTAAGATATTAACAAATCAAGTTACATTACGACGACAACAATGCCCAACAACAATGGATAGAATATTCATTTATTTTCACTCTCAGCATATATTGCCAATATAAAATCCTGATTTAAATTCACCTCAATCTGTAGACTTCAGATTATTCTTAAATAACGAATTTATAGTACATTTATGTACCTACATAGTGTTCAGAGAGAGGACAACAATTAAATTACTCATAATTTTATGAAATAAATTTAATATTGCAACAATTTAAGTTTTTTTATCCCAGATAAATAATCACATTTTCGGCGTTTTAGTATATAGCTTAGCTTATAATCTTCTAATTTGCTATGTAGAGCGCTAAAGTATAGTGAGAATGTATGTTACTGAATAATTATCAGGCTTAACATAATATTTATTAACATAGAAAATGTTGAACACTGCACACGTTAAGTAAATTTAAATTAATATATCCGAGAGAATTCGTGAGCTAATTTAGAGAACAATGCATCCTATTAATAACATAGCCAATGTCATAAAAAGCGACATACATAAAAAGAGTTAATTTAACTCACCGTCCAAAAGCATCAAAACTGTATGGAAGAGGTATCTCATCTTGCAGCTTGTCCGCCGCAGACTGTGCCTCGCGGGGCAGCAGGGCTGGCAAATACACTACTTGCACGTCCGTGCTCTCCGTCTCTCGTGGCTCGGCTTCGTCCTCACCTCGCCCCGCCCCGAACCACCAGCTCTGCGCCGGCAATAACTCCTGCACATCACCACATATCACTTTGTTGTCAAATTGTCAGGTCCAAATTATAATAATTAAAACGCATCTTACTTGAAAGTAGCCGACCACCGTCTGATCGTTGTAGAATTAGTTATAATTATATTGACTACCGTATATTTATATTTGATCCTAATAATTTAGTGCTGGTTGGTAGTTTATATTCACACGTTCGTTCACGACTTGTAAATGTGAACATACAAGGATTATTTAAAAGAGCAACCCATAAGTTAGAGCAGCAGCTCATAAGCAGCAGTAGATAATGAGCAGTAGATAAAAAAATTGTTATGACTATTCAAAAGTGCTTAAATTAAGTTTATTTGAATAAATGATTTTCTATTCTATTCTATTCTACGCAAATAATAAGTGATTACTTAAATAGACTGCAGTTGTAGTTATAGTAGTGGCAAATAATGACGAATATCGTTATTTCTTTCGATATAAAGTCCTCAGGAATGCCATACCATGCGCGATGCAGTAAACTCTCTTTTATGGATTTGTTTTTATGGATGTTAGTAATGAATTAAGAACTTTGCCTGGATTAATGGCATATACTAGCGGAGAAATAATGAAGATGTAATAGGATCAGATGTGGTCAAATATTATTTCGGAGTTAATCAAAAGAACCAAAGGGAGAACTACTCGTACTAGCAGTGCAACTTTATATAGCTCATAACTAAACAATACCTACTACAATTTTTACTTACACAGTTTTAATACCTAAATTTTATTATTTCATTTTTCGAATATACTTCTTGTAAATAGTAAATAGTCATTACTAATCATATAGTTAATAATAAACAAATTAACTAGTACCGACTAGAGATAAGAAATAACTTAAGAGGAAAAAAAAAATAAGAAATAACTGTCACATGCAAAAAATAAATGATAATCCGAGGCACCAATATATTTGTAATTTACTTTTCGCTGTTCTTATATTGTCCGAAGAAATTTATAGGTACCAATTCATTTCAGTTCAGACGTTTTAGAATACAGTTAGACTTATGATGCAAATACGTAAGATTTCTTCCCTCTATTACCACATTTATGTACTTAACATAAATGAAACACATCATAAAAAAGAGTAGATTTTATTATTTCCGTATGTACCTACAAAAAAATAGAAATTACGTGCCAAGCGCAATTCACAACTCGTAGGTGCTCAAAAAGGAGCAAATTACAAACTGATCACAACACAATTTTGATTTATCTTAGGTTTGGATAACTAGTACCTACATTGTTTACCTGCAAATTTTTTCCGCAATACGTATTTATTAACTTCAGATTATTCAAATTTTTGTTTAAGTAGTCGCTATGACAATTATACACAAAACAAATATAATAATATTTGTTTAGGTTGAAGGATGAGATAAGGTAGTGAAAGTACAAGGTACATGGCAATGATGGCTTAGTCCTGCAAAATGGCAACAAAACATGGGTCATTCAAGCGCTATCACTGGTGTAATATGACGCCATAACACGATGTCCGTGGTTCATAAAGATGACGGTTATAACTTACCACCTATTGCAGCTGATTGGAATATATGTTGTTTATTCTTAAGTAAGTAGAGAGTTTTCCAAGTTTTAGAAATAACAATTGCTTATTTAATTTTTATTTGTTGAAATTGGACAGCGATTGGAATGATATACCAAATATTACGAGAAGCTTACATACAGCTCTAAAAACCATAGTTAAATTGCTGATACTGAAACAAAGAAAATTGCTAAAAACTATTGTTTTAATTCTGTACCGTAAATATAAATTATATAAACTGTTTTTTTAAAACATATGTACGATATGTGATATCTATGTATGTATTCTCTATTAGGTAAGTGCACAAACCCACGACAACAACGCTTGACCGGTAAAGTTTTAACTCATTGTGGATTACTCAGCAACTCTAGTATTTGAAGTCTTTATTTGACAATATAATCAATGTGGGTATCAGGAACACGACAAAATGAACTTAACGTGCCGATAATAAATGCTATATATCAAACGAGGTCGAGGGGATATGGGTGACTAGGCGCGCGACATCTTAACCACTTTTGTACCATTGTCATGTCCATGACGCATTCTGGCAACTTCCCACGGCAGTTTTATTGTTTTAATAGATCACTAGACATTCAATTAACGCTTATACAAATATGTAGACGATAATAATCTATAAATAACGTTTAGCTCTTGTTTAGGTTTCGGTTGAGCTTTTAGATACTATTCACACAATTTATTCAACATTTTTATATTTATGAAGAGTTTTTTAAAGTTATGTCATTATTAGATATCATAAAACAAACAGAATACAGAACATTAAAAATAATTGAATATTACCTAATATCGAAACAGTAATTAAGCCACAAACCTTAAGTTTTATTGCATAAAGAAATATCTGACACGACAAAATATATCAAACCTTAGGTATATAAAGCATTGTCAACCCTATATTTATAAAATACAGTTGTATACATGTTGACATAATAATCTACAATCCATTATACATTTTTTTTTTCTCTATTATTCAAATAACGGAACTAATTATATTAAAACAATAAGCCGCAAAACTGCTCAGCAGTTTATCTGCAGCAATTTGACTATCCCAAGGGATAGAGATGGCGGCCACCCAACCAAATGTACTCATTTGGTTGGGATGCCAATTCCGCCATACATAGTGCACTTGCTCCGCTTTACTTTTAGCCAACCATTATTAAACAATATTGTTTATATGGTTTACACTGTCGGGGCACCAGTGGAGGACGATAAGATGAGTGAAATCAGGTCAATTAGCCTTTCGTGGCAAATGCACAAATATTTAAAATGATGGTTTCCAGAAACCGTTTCCAGGAACTGCGTAGACGCAACTTGACATGGTACCTTGCTAGCAATAGAATTACTAATTGTAGCACAATCAAAGCCATTATTATAAATGATTGCATACTTAGTATTAATACACAATTACAGTAAAAATCTGTGAACTTTTTAAATAAGTAGTAATTAATTTTGTTAGGTAACATTGCTATGTCTCATTTATAGGATTTTTAGAAAAGCACATGATGGATCTTTGTCCACAAACAATGGCATTGAATGAAAATGTAAGTTTATTTACTGTGCTTATTGTAACCTGTGGTTCTAATATACAAATTTTAGCAAGTCAGTCGTACTGATAGAGACGAGTGAAACCGAAATCAACACGTGAGTCAGCGAAGTGTAGGTCCGACATTAGCGGATGCGAGAGAACTAAAGGGGAAAGTAAAACTATTTGTTTTTCCTTTTCTTTGACTCAAGACAATGAGTAAGTACCTCGTAGTGAATTACTGGCACCCGACAGGTGCCATGCAATTTATTGTGGAAGTAGTCATTAATTTTTGTATTCAAATTGTAAGTTACGTCGGTATATGACGGATGATGAAAGTTATTCACATCAATCTCAATTACGCGAAGTGTTGTGGTGATCACGTCGCATGGTTGGCGCGTCGGCCCGTGCAACGGTAGGCCCGCAACGGCGTCCGTCTCTCAGCCGTACAGCCGCACGGTGAACGCCACGCTTGCACCAGGGTTGCCATATTGAAATTATTAACCTCGTACGAAAAATCAACAATGTGATAAAATAGCGTACTTACATTTACAGTAAATCTCTTTCAACGAAAATCGCTCAAAATACTCAGTATTATGAGCTATTTTTATTGGTCAAAATCTCGTACATAAAAATGTCAAATTATTCTAATGCTGTTGGGCGCAGCTGACCTTCACAGCTTCACCGAACGATAAGAGGCTAGCTAGATGGCACACCTAACCCGCGGAAAGACTTATGGAGCGGCTGAAGCCCAACTCTCAGGCCGTAATTTCGATCCCCATTTAAATTGGACGGGGTACCGAAGGTCAAATATATCGTATTTGAACGAGGGTCCCCGAACGGTTGGCATCCCTGTCTTGTGCTCTCATAATGGAGTTCGCTATGCAATGTGAATCATCGACAGACAATTGAACTGTACGTGACGTTTGCGCTTGTGTAACTTGCTACGTGATCCAGTGCGGGAAAGACCTAAACTTAATTTCATTACATAATATAATTACTAAAATAAAATTATATACCCAGTTACCGACGGACTAGAATTTTGTGAAAGTTTTATTAGTTTACGAGTAGTAAACAACCAAAACAATAATTTGTTTTTTTTTATTATAATATTTTAGTGTACTTAATTTATTTGCGTGTATCCAATTCTGTGGTCATGATTCACAGTTGATTTCGCTTCTAAATGACATTCTAAGTCCGAATGCCAAGAATTCCTTTACATATTATCAGTATAATTTGGTATTAGTTGAAGTAGATATATTTCTTCCAAATGACATTTCAAATATAATGACATTATTTACATATAAATTCCGCCAATAATAGGTACTATCTGCCTATTACATTAATAAATTGGTAGTTGTCAAAAAATTCATACGCAAATTTTTTTTTTTTTGAGCTGGCTGAATATGAAGGAATCAATTTCAATTTTTAAAAATCGTTAATACGTTGGAGAGTCTTACTTGGCAAAATATTGACATATACTTGTAGAAAGAAACCGATTACAAAGCATTCCAAAGTATGATAAATACCAGTTGTGTTTTATATTTAACTACATATTCAGAGTCCGGTACTTCTATTATTAATAATACGAGAGATACCTACTGCATACCATATGCAGGCTGCATGTATTGTTCAATCACCATTAGCAACCGTCATTATTATTAGCAATAATAACAGCAAGTTTACACCTGCCAACTTACACCACTTACATACCACTATCTTCAGCTTAATTTCACCAAATTAGGTGTAGGTAGGTTAATTTGCTAGATACATGACTCAAGGAAACAAACAAAAGCCGAAAACACTTTCTTAACTAATGACAATAGTCACGAAAACGTTATCTCTCTTGAGACATCATATCGAACCTGTTTTCTTATTGGATTTGACGTGCAGCTGTCTGTCTCGATCATCTTGATCCCAAACACCAACTATCTATTACACTACATTGCACTTTAATTATTTATATCAAAAAATGTTCTATACCTATATACTAAAAATAATTCAACTGCTGAGTACAGTAATACGATACGATACCATTTAAAAAATAAGTAAGTTGATACTTATCTCATTTGAAACATGTAATATTTTGCGTTACATCACAGGTCAATTAATATAATATATAATAAAAATTAATGAAATGCCAGAAATTTGTGAATATTTATATTTTGTATGTGTGTCTTAAAATGTAATACTAACCTACATTTATTTTATTTAGTGTTACTAACATAAAAGCTTTGGAACAACATAATTTTTAAATCGAAATAGAATAGACACATACATTTATTCTCTTTTTTTCAGGTCTCACCCGCCAATATTAGTAATAAGCAAATTCCAAGTCTCTATCTCATATTGTTTAGGACTGTTCCATTAACATCTGTGACAAACAGATAAACATCGCAGTGAGACGAAAAAGGTTATTGTTTAGTAAACAATATCGAAATCATTTGTTCAATATTTATGAATAAAATTGTACTATTTTAAAAAGAAAATTAATTAAGTATCTAAATTAATATTATCACTAATAAGTGTTTACCGCGGTTTCGATTTAGAAATTAAAAGAAATTCTTTTTCATATTGTCATAAAAATGTTTCAGCCATCCATTGACAAATTAATCAGTATGGCAGGACAAGTCAGTTTATATAAATATAAAGATATGAGATATTCAGAAATCTAAGGAAATATTTACACCAATAATATTGTCGCTATATTATATCTAATGATGAACTATCGGCGTGTACATCTTCTACAATGCTTTTATTTTTAACTTTAAAATGTTAACAAACACTATTTTGTTTCATATATTTATTATTATACATTGGTTCGCAGCAACAAGTGTAATGTAAAGTATTATAAAAATAATTTCATCATACATTTCACAATATTCTCACAGCGGAAATATTTTTTACCTTCTAATATACCCAATATTAGAGGGTATTTTACTTCTCAACTATTTCAATATCACGTTAGCTAGGTAACAATCAATAATTAAAATATAAACGAGTTATGAATTATCTATACGTGAACTATGATGATGAATGAACTAGTGCTTAACAATAAAATTCGAAACCTGATAATTATCTATAATAGTTACAGGTCGCTTAATATATTTTAAAATAAGATATTATCGTTAATGTATTGTAATCAATAATATTAGAGAAATGCTACTAATACATTAATGCAAATATATCTATAAATTATTCTATTTAATTTAAATAAGGAAGTGTTAAAATAATGCCGCTTAACTAAGAACGCGGCATTTGCCGCCCGCCCTAGTAGCGGTCGCTACTCACGGGGAAACGCGCAGGCGCACCGGCTCGTAGCACGAAAAACAGCGCTACAGTCACTATCTCAGCACGCGCCATGACTACCCTCTGACATTGCACTTCACAAGCTATAGGTCGAATCGTCGGTTCACTCCCGATACACCACTTTAGTATAAACTCGCACGGAAGTTACATGCAGGTGCTTTGAATATCAGTAAGCGCGATGCACCGTGCGAGAACCGTAGGACCGTTGTTACGTCGCGATTAGAACGCGTACACTTATGCGGCGCCAACTACTGAATAAGCGCTGCGAGCCCCCGAGTCAACACCTTTCGCACCTCGGAGAGAAAGTCGTAGGAAAGTGCAGATTTTGGCTGTCAAGGCACCGCCCACATGCGTCCCCGGAGGAGCATTGTCACGAGTCATCCATCACGCGAAGCGGGCAGGCAGTTTCCGCTAATCAAAACAAACGAACGTTATCGCGTTGCGGTCGTTTGTACGGAGCAATCATGCACGAGACGATGAGACATTACACTCATGTCCAAAAACCACTATAATATGGCTACACATTCAATGTGAGAACACCGCAAACAGCAAAACTGACCTGAGTAAACATAATATTATTTTAACGTATGTAGGTAAATGAAGTATAATGTATATATACCATAAGAGGTTATTTATTTAAAGCAACTATTCTCAAACATTGGTACCTACTACTTAATATCAATTCTGGTTCATTATTTCTAGTTGTGTAATTAACAAATGGGTACCACAAACAACTAAGTATACAAATAACAGACTTTATCCCCTGATACAAAAACAGGAATATTATAAGTTTGTATTGTGTGTGGCATCGAAGCTCCTAAACCGATAAAGATGTGTTTTTTTTAAAGTCGACGTAATCTAGATGGTTTTTAGATACAATTTATACTTTATTTTTATTACAGATTAGTTATAATTTTTAATTGTATTATTAATATATTCGTTGTAATTGTTACTTAGCTATAATATTTATTGATGTACGACATAACGAAGCTCTTTTTTCTCGGACATATATTCGTCCTAAAAGAAAATTAAATACATATTTTTTTAGAAACTAAAAAAATATGTATTTTATAGACTTGAATAAAACGGTAAAGTAGTTGAGTATATTAGAATAATAGAGCGATAATTTATAATGTAAGTTGATAGGCGGATGAAGTAGACTATGAGCATATACAACTTTATATAAAAGTAACTCAGTGTGTACAGAAACATGACTCCACATACTTAGTTATTTAGTATAGTTCTTTAGGTACTTAAAATTTAAAATGATTAACAATGAGCTTATTGGATTCATAAAGTACCATATTTAGTCGTATCTTATCTTAGCATTAGTGACAGGGTGTTATGTAAAAACAAAACATATGCAGTCCTTACCATGCGGGTAAAGACTGCATATGTTTTATTTTTGCTTAAGTACATGCAAAGTTCACTTAACTTTAGTCGCCTCAGCAAACATTTTAGTTTAATGATTTCGACGTACACATATATTTGTTTACATTCATTAAAAATATTGAGCACCCTCCTTTATTCTGTTGCAAATTATTAGATAATATACTATGTACCTACCAGGGTTTAAAAGATATATATATAATAATAATACTGGACAATCTACAATATGTCATTCTCATACCAATACAAATAATCGTACTTATGGATACAAATGTTTTCACCGAGCGTAGTATCAAACCCATAACCGTCGAAAAGTAAGGCGGTGTACTAAACCGCTAAACCATCAATGCCGTCATTAGCAATATACATGTACTTGTGATTGTGGGGATAGGGTTTTTTTTGTGGAAGAGAATGAAATGGTGTAGAGATGTGTTAACTCGAATTGTGCTGAATTCGAGTTAACACGAGTAGAATTCTGTCAACTCGAGTTGAAAGAATTCAGCTGGTAAATGAAAGAATCAAGTGAAAGAGGGAGAGCATGATTCGATCGTCGAACCGACAGGACATGAAGTTTTTCGATCATTTCATATCACAAAATTTTCATATGTGTCACAAATGTCTCAATATTGATTTGAGGTTGTTATAATTTTTTTTCCATGTTAATATGTAGAAAATACGAGCTGGTTATTGAATCAGATTAAAAAAATAGCACTCGAATAGAAGTTGACTTCTGACATTGACAGCCATGCATGCGCTCCATAAGTCCTTACTTGTTACTTGTATTCCAACTCGAGTTAACTCGAGTCATGTTTATTACGAGTTAGCACATCTCTAAAATGGTGCATCCGCCTGCGCTAACGGTTTACACTGGCGGGACACCAGTGGAGGATGTTAAGATGAATATGAAGTCAGGTCAGTTAGCCCATCGTGACAAATTCACTACGAATTTATCACGATGGTATCTAAGAAGAACCGCGCCAAGGTCGACCTAATTTTACTCATTGCTAGCAATGGGGAATAGTAGTTTCCATTACTAACAATCCCTTTCCCCCTTGGGGATGGGGTTATTAGTAACAGGGATTAATGCCCCGTTCCTAACAGATGGCAAACTATCGTGGTTAATTCCTACTAAATTTGCTATGATGGGCTAACTAATCTAACTACATGCTCATCCTATCAACCCCCACTGCTGTCAACGTATACCATTATCATCTATTCAAAAAGACTACTAGGTAGGAGTAGGAGAAATGCTGTCATTCGTCGCAGTTCAATGTATAATGCTGCTGGAGATGGAATGATTTAATACTGTCTTCACATTATTTTAACCATTTCATTTTCATTAAGCAATATTATTTTACTCCCGCTTTCCCGCACAGAATCATTATTTAGTTACGTTTCAGATTGAGTTTTGAGATATATTCTATGTACTTATTTAATTATGTTAATAGCAAAACACACAAATGCAAACGTGAACATCTATTTGATATTGTTAAGTATAAACAATGATATTTTTCGTCGGTAAAAAATACCGAGTGTCGAATTTGTTAATTGGTAAGTACCGCTTTTTCATTTTGAAGAATATGGCTGCGTAAGTCATTCTTGAATTAGTGTAGGTATATGTATAACGGAACGGATGCGCAACTCGCCTCTTTGTTCAAAAGATTTATGACTAACATACCTAAATACTTTAGCAATATTATTAATACACCCTTTCTCGGTGCAATTGTAAAAAGCAGATGGTCAATTAGTGCGCATGTTTTTTTGTATATTCATCCTTTTTTGAGTGTGTCAAGCTAATTAGTAATACTAATTTAGTATATTATATGTTGATAACGTCTATTGCTGAATTCTGTTACAATCCAGAGAGCTCAGAACGAATAAACGCGGTTTATTTAATTTTGTACTTAATTTAACTACCTTACCTATAAATAAAATAATTAGTTTCACTTTAATAGAATCATATAGAACAAGTAAAATGTATTACTTTACGAGCGTCAAGGCCCAGTGGTTTACTACCACAATTTGGACAATTTAAAAAAATACTCTCAACTTATATTCCTGACGACTCTCCGGAAATTGGTACACCGTTGTGTAAACCAAATTAATCTTAGAAAAAATGGTAGGCTCGCCCACTACCAAGTGTGGTCAAAATGTAGCTAACGAACTGTGCATATATCACTACCCCAACTGGGATAATAGTCCTAAAGAAATATCCTTTAATATAATAACCTAAACTAGCTGGTAACGCTATTTTGAGTAACTACTTTATAGTGTCTGGTACAATATAGTTGCAAACATAAAATTACTAGATATAAAGCATGACACCTTAGATCTTTGGAATGGTAACGCATTAATAGTTATCTCGGGTGTCACATGATAACTAATAATAAATTATAATATCTAAATAAAATATAATTTCCGGCCTGCCGTTCATGTATATAGGTGACAGTTACCGCTTACCACCAGGTGGTTCGTTTGTCATTTCAATAACATAAAAAATCAGGGTGAACGCAGAAGTTGACTTAACCGAGTATCTAACAATTGGGTTTCTAGTCCTCGCCACTAATTGAAAATCAAGTATCTACCTACCTACTAATTTTGAAATTGACTTATTTTAATTTATAAATTACCGTTAACAACAAAGAAATGTTGTGGTCAAACGTACATTTAAAAGTGAATGCTAATTTATCTAGTACAATACTATTCCGTCTTATAGACCCACGCATTTTTTACGCAGTCGGAAATTACTAGTCAATTGCACATACACTACTCGTATCTATACAATTGACACATTGAAATAAGAGGCAACAAAGCTGTGTAAACAAAATTATGGGTGGGTAGGTAAATATGTTTACATTTGTACCTATTAATACTATTGATCTTGAAACTATACAATTTTGGTAGCATTTTTTCAGGTGATGCGTGTAGAGCAGAAAATAAGTCGAATTACTAGAAAAATCGCAGTGGAAATAGATGGGATTTGGAGTACCATATATCTTTAGTATATAGGTACTCGTTCTTCGGTATTATCGAATTCACTTTCAGTCCCTTTATTATGAAAATGCGATTTCAACTTAAATGTATTTCCTTATATATTTTTTTACTCCCGAATAGACAGACTATAATTAAAAGCGATATCGTTTATACATAATCGTCTTACATTCCTTACACCTTACTTATTACCGTATTGTCACTAGAAAACCCCGTGAATTATATTGTAAAATCTGAGCAAAAAAGGTCCTCTTCATTTATTCATTGAGTGTTGAATGTGATGAATCTGCATTCCGAATAAGCGGTATAATAAAAAAACTTTAGTATTCAAAAGTGCTTATATTAAGTTTATTTGGATAAAGATTATTTCTATTCCTATTTTTATTTCATTACCGGCTGATGTTTAGCCACAAAACTTAAAATACTAACTATTATTTATATTATTGACTTTTTTATAAATTGCGTCAAAACTGATCACAACATGGTTTAATTAAATATTTTATTGGACTAATATCAATCCGGCACAACCTATGTAGATAAAATTTTATATTGACTCATTTGCAAAGTACAGTTCACTGAGGACGTTGGCGTTTGAATCTTACAACAATCGAATAATAATGAGCAGAAACCTATACCTAGTACCTACCTAGAAGACCCCTTATTTATATTTCGCACATCCTTCCACATATCCTGTCACTGTGTTAGAGCATTACTTAGGGATCATCCATTCTGTCATACGATATAGAGAGAAGGGAGAAGTGGGTCGACATATTGTGACAAGGAGTGGGGTGCAAAATATTATGATGTCACATTTCAAATTCTAATAATATATGTAAGTATTGAAATACGAACTAATAACGAAATTAATTACAATTTAAAAATACATGTCATTATACTAACAATAAGAGTTATGAATAGGATCGACTGTACAATACAATTATGAAAGACTAATCCGATCGCAGTAGAAATTTTGATGAAATTGTTATTGGATGGCGCAGAGAATTTTTGAGTCCGTCAGTCATAACAAGTTCTTTTGAGGATAGATATAAAGGAAAGTTTAAATCGAATAAGATAATAAATAAAATCTTACATACTCTCATATACGCACATGTTATTGGAAAAGGAGGTGCGTATGATTCACCACTGGAAGAAAAAAAAACACATCGAGGGACGGCGCGGCGGCGGAGAACGCGGGTGACGCACAGTTCGAGTCATTGATCCCGATACATTCCCGGGCTGTCGACGCGATCCAACGCCATGGAGGAGCTCGCGCGCCCGTCTGAGTCGGAACCTCTCGTTCCGCCGCTTGTGCTTGCTGTGTACATCGCATGCGTTGCCGGCGCTGGCGCTCTAGCTAACTGCTCAGTGCTGGCCGCACTTTTTAAATCAGCCAGAAACGGTAAATATTAATTTAATTAATAATATAATGTATTAATTTAATAGTTCGTAACTGAGTCTTAATACATATAATATTAAACTGAAACGGTTAATATAAAATAGCCAAACTATTAATTTTCATATTTTACAGTTGAGAATTATTAGTCAAAATTACCCCTTATTGACCATTTGCTAAGTAAACGTATATATATAATACATTTATCATATACACAACGTAGGTATATTATCATGATTATATATTTTTTTTCTTTTTAGACACTCATTTACTATTAGATAATAAAGAAATTCCTTCTTAGTGGTCAGCCCCCACAGCTGTTGCATGAGTAAACCATTTGCATTAATCCTGGTTTCTAGACATACAATTTTCATCTGTATATCACTCACTACAGATGAAACAGCTCTGTCGACTGGTCGACTGATGATCACACAGTTAGTAGGGACTTTCTGGAATTAAAACATTATAATATCTTTTTAATTTTCAGGTTTGTCAGCAATTATTATACAATTAGCTTTAGCCGATTTCGCACTGATTGGAACATCTATATCTCCAGAATTGTGGGCATGGAATGCGAGAAAATGGCATTTCGGCAGCATCGGCTGTGCAGCTTATAGAGGACTAAATGTGTTTGCTTCGACAGCATCAGCTTATTTAATCGTCACCATAGCCCTTCATACTCTGGCCATTTTTAACTTAGAAGACAAGTTAAGGAAACATCGGAACAAGAGAAGTCTTCCAGATGATGATGAAATGGGATCATCACGACATAGTTTGGTTGCAAATAGTGACTCCTCAACACCGCGTCGAACTATGCACGTCGACTACCGACTCGCAGAAACCAAGGTTCCAGTGACTCAACCCAGTGCTTTTATTTGGGTGTTGTCAGCATCGTTAAGTGTTCCGGAATTTACATTAGCGATAACAATTCACGAAGATCACGACATTGTGCTATGCACTTCAGTGGATACCAATCATAAAATCAACATGCAAACTATGCTTGCAATATTTGATCTGGTTTTGCCTTTAATAATAATGACTTTAACTGGAGCTTTAGTAGTGAACAAATTAAAATCGAAGAAACTGTATGATATTTATAATTATGAATCAATAGCAGCATTAAAATTATCGTTATGGTTAATAATTGTGTACAGTGTTTTTTGCGTTCCTCGATCAGTTGCTTCCGTATACCATGTTTATTCGATTTCCAAAAGTGGAAATGAAATATCGCCAATCGATCAGGTACCTAAGGATTATACAACTGCGATAATAAGGTTAGCATTTAGTGGTATATATCTCGCATCGACTTTAATACGACCTTTACTATGTATATTTATGATACCGAGTTTAAAAAAAGTTTTCTCTGTCGGTTTAAGAGATTCAAACATAGACTGTGTGTGATATTTGTCAGTACAAATGCAATAGCTAAAGAACATCTATACTAACTGAGGAAACCAGGGGAATTAGAGAAACTAAGGTCCTAGAAAAATGAGTGTTAAAGTTTGTTTTGAATCACAGCAAGAGCCACTGAGGACTAGTGTTTAGTAAGTACATAGCCATTGTTACGGTCCTATAATAACAAAATATCAAACACAAATAAATTTTGTACTTTAAATACACTTTTAAGTCAGCACACTTAAGATGTTTGACGGTTTCTATTCTATAAACCACTAAATTTAATGGTCAAACTATAACTAAATATTAATACCATTTAAGTAGTAAGTACTGGTAGGTACTAGGAATTCTGTCTAAACAGATAAATCAAGAGGATTTATCTGTTTAGACAGAATTCCTAGTAGTAGTTTAAATTACTAATATCTTTTGTGATTGTTAACCCACATGGGGATAGTCAGATGCATTGTCATCTGTTAACGTTGCAGTAACTGAAACACTTGAAATGTCCAATTTGCCCAAGTACATTTGAATCCACCGAGCCGTCGGCGTCGCGTTCCTCGTATTAATTCGGTTTGCTTCAACAGAGAAGAGGAGTCGCTACTTTAAAATGACAGTATTTTTTTAAATCGGGCAAATTCGAGCTTGATTTCGAATTCGTCTATGCTAGTCTAAGCACTACCACTAGGCCAAGAGGTTCTCAAGCAGATATAATTCCTATAAAAACATATGGAATTTTTTTTATACCAGTTTATACCAATGTATGTATTATATAGATAAGTAAAATGATTATATGTATTTTTTTATTATAATGTTTTCTGGTCTCATTGTTTTCTTTCAAAAGGATACATGTATATGCATCCTATATAGCAATTTCCTGAAGATCCTTTGCAAATTATATTATTAGAATCTGTGTACCTACTGCAATATTTAAGACGGGCATTAAGAGTACCATTCTAAAGTTATTTTTGATAAAGTTCTTAAAATCAAATGTATGGTAATTTTATTGATTCAGAACACTTCGAAAACTAATACGCGTTTGTTTTTGTATACTATATTATGACATTTTTCTTTTATTTTTATGATTTACTTTACATGACATATAACTCTAATACTAGTTTGATGACTCAGAACTGATGTTCTCGAATCGATACCACATTGAACTTATTTATTCTTATAAGAGTTAATAGATCTGCTTCCTCTAAAAGACCGGCAGCTTATAGGCAATTGCCCTTATGTTGCGTAAGTGGTTTCAATTTCATAAAGCAAATGGGTATGCTGGTATTGAAAAAGCCAGTCTATTCTCTAAAATGCATGTAATACGTTTTTCTGTAATATTATTATTATAAGTTGAATCAAATACTATATAATGAAATTATAAGGGGAGGCATATCTTGTACATTATAAATTTATCAAAAAAGAACCTACATTTTTGATAAAATTATAATCTAACATGAAAGGCTTCTTTGCTTTTTATAAAACAAAGAATAGTGCATAACTTTGATATTTATAGTTTCATTTTTGTTTGCATCAAACATGCTTACCAACATCCCGTTATTTTAGATAAAATACTAATTAAGTTGAGGGCATATAAATAGGTTTAAATAAATCACCCTTTTAAATTTTTTTTCTTATGTATATATAATAAATGCAAATAAAAACTATTTCTGCGTTATAAAATAATCGATTTGGTTAAAATGATGCAGCTGACCACAAACCATCTTATTCATTTTATATAATTCAGCCAATTAATATATAACAGTGCATTAAATATTAACTAGGTAATAAAGTTAGGCTATGTAAGAACATAACATAGTAATTCGAATAAAAAATATTTGGTTGGTTATATAAAATCGCTAATAGTATTTAACTATTCACCATTTTATACCACCCTACTAATTGTACAGAATGTAACTAAAAAACCTGTTCTAAATTAATATATAAAAGAAAAAGTAGTTATTTTTTTGGATTAGCCTTCCTTTCTTTATAGTAAATTATCGATAACGAATTCTAATCATTTTTTTGAGATTTTTAAGTTAGATATTGAGACTGATATATTCATAGTTACACTCTACAAAATGTTTAGTCTTTTGCAACTGGTTACTAGTTTGAATATATCTTTTTAAATAATAATTATTAGAAATACTCAACAATATAGTGTAGGCCATATAACAAAGGTAATTGTATCGCATTTAAGTCATAAACATCTTTTTAGGGTTAATAGGTGGCGGTTTATTTAAATATTGATTCTAAAACTAAAAGTTGTATTTAATACAAAAGTTTATTGGTGAAAACATGAAAAATATAATAGATTAATGGCTGATAAAATGCAGCAGAAATGTTACAATATTATTTTGTCCATCACAAAACTATTTTGCTAATAAATGCCTGAAAAATTCAGAATGCTATTAATAATCGGTGACGGGCACAACAAAATGGTTAATGTCAATGTCAACAATAAAAGATTTCCTTTGGTAATATTTAAAAAAATTGAGGACATCACAAAAACCACGTAAAAGACACTAACAAGTTTTTTGTGCCCTAATTTGATACAGCCATTACAAAATGTGGATTTATTTTATGAAAATCTAATTTCATTGGGTACTGGGCGCAATTAACAAAATTCTGGTTATCTAATTGTATAATTTTAAACAACATTCACCATCAAGATCTCCATTTCACTGCGGACAAACGGCGATAGGAATGTTACTTTGGGGCCGACCAGGCTGTAAGTTTATTCTAAATATGAAAGGAAAACACTTTTAACTTAAGAAACCGTAATTTTAATAACTTAAGTTATAAATATTTATATTCATCAGGTCAGCTCGATATCTGTAATCCAGTGTAAATACAGAAATACAAAACCGTCAAAGATGACACATAACATTTAATTTTAGACGGAACGTGAAGGTCCGCTGCGAACGACATTTTTAACATTTTTTTTACAAGCGACGGCTCGCAACAGCGGCGGAGGACCCGCGCCGCGCGGCGTTCTCGAATGTTACTCGTTTTCTTATAAAACACCGATGAGAACAAATGCGTGTGCTGAGGGTGAGCGCGGCATTGCATTAATTGTCGCCCCCTTCGGCGGGCTCGTCGCCGTCGCCCTGCGTATCCGACGTCCAAAGCGTCAGATTATCTCGCAAAAGCTGCATGATCAGCGTCGAGTCCTTATACGAATCCTCGTTCAGTGTGTCTAATTCGGCGATGGCATCATCGAAAGCCTGTAAATTATCAAACGACAATGTCACTCATATGGCGATTTCAACAAACTTAGAAATATGTATTTTTGACATAACACAATCAATTTATACTTTTGAAAATATGTATGTTAAATAGTGATACTGGCTGGCACGAGTATTACGAGGTTAATTGATTGGCCATGCTAACACAACTCATTAGTTAACTTACTAACACTATTATTATATATTAATGTTTAACTGAGATTGATATCTAAGTTCTTGTCATGCAAAATCAAATGCAGAATAGAAATAGACTTGGCGATAGTTAGTTATAATACTGAGTGGTCAATGAGCACACTGAAATCCAATTGTGCAACTATAAAAAAACCTGTTTAGCTAAGTGGCACGCTCGCGCAGGGGAGTTGATTATCTCATAATAAAAGACGGAAAAGTTGAGCGCTAGGCCAAGTCTGATGGGGTGGGTCGGTTGCATTTTGGCCTTAGCAATGTCGAACGCCTCCTGGTAGGCCTTCTGCGAGTCCTCCACGACGGCTGGGGACAAGCGAGTATGTTAATACGCTGAGCCTGCACCTCCACCTTCGTGCCAGCCAGCACACAGCCTATGTGTAACTGACACAAATAATGACCTGTTTAGCAAGGTGACACGCCTTGTCTGGTGAATTTAATATCTCATAATAGAAGACGGAGAAATTTAATGCCAACCCCAGCCTGATTGGGTGTGTAGGTTGCATTTTCGCCTTGCTGATCTCAAAAGCATCTTGGTATGCTTTCTGTGAATCCTCTACAACAGCTGTAATATAAATGAGTATTATAGACATATAGCTGTAAATTTTTTTTTTTAAATAAGTCCCGTTTATCTTAAAATGTTTAGAAATACAAATGAAAATTTAAGAATAGTAATAAAAATAAATTTATTTCAATAAATTATAGCTCTCTTTGTGAACATAGAAATAATTAATAACATTTAAAAAAATTAGAGTTTCAATTTATATTATTAATGCTTTTTTTTTTAAATACTCACAATTTCTGGTTTCTCCTGTGGCCACTTCTGCGAGGTACCTGTAGTAATCCCCCTTCATTTTAAGGTAAAATACTTTACTTTCTGGTGTACTAGCTTTAGGAATAAGGTGTTTGTCGAGTAAACCCTGCAACAAAATAAATATTCTAATGTATTTTTTGTGTGTAATTAGAATAGTAGTATGAAGTATACTACTATACTAATATATGCAGTAAGTGTGCATATATTATTTATGAAAATAAAAAAAAGTCACACATTTCAATCCCCCAATCAAAAGTAGTATTCAAGTCTCCTCATCACAAAGCGGTAGTCTACTGAATATTATTTCTCTAATTAGATTCATCAATGGTTGGTGTCAGACAAGATAGAATCCAGCAAGATGATGGCCTGTCTTGTGAGTATTGGCAGTAAGCCAATGTTTTACATACTGATACTACCATTCCATATAAAGCAGTGGCTACTGTGACCCCTATATACTTATACAACACCATGGTTTAATTAATTAATTAAGGGGCGTCCATAAATTACGTGAGGTGTGATCAGAAAAAAAATTGCGTGATATTTGCTCTCTCCAACGTAAGATTAGATGAGATTTGGCTCGACCCCCTTAAACATCACACGTAATTTATGGACGCCCCCTTATATAATAATATAACTGTGTCCTTGTTTCAAAGAATACACTACTTCTTAATCATTCGAGACTCAAACTTAAAATCCAATGTATGCAGAGTCACAACTGAAGTAGTTAACCAATGCAGAACAGTGAATTTTCGTTACTCATAATAGTAATATACTCT